GGCCTCCACGTCCACACTTGACTGCTGTTGGGACACTTTCGTCCCGGTCAACCCGCAGATCAGTAGTGAATATGCCACCTTCCTTGCCTACCCATCCAGCCTTCCAGACCTTGGCTGTGCCGCGGTGCTTTTGGACACGAGGGCCATTGGGGGCAGCGTCTTTGCTGCTGTGGTCCCTCATGTTACAACCTTGAAAGAGCTACGCAAGGCGGCGGGCTGGGATACTGTGCGTCCACAGGATGTCTTTATAGTTGGGTGCGACGCGCCTCTTGATGACTGTCAGCGGGTCGAGCTCAAGCACGGATCCCTTGTCAAGTTTGTGCCACCGGGGGCTCCACCCGACTGGGCTCCGTCTTTAGAGTCCGCTTCCCATCTTTCGAGTGTCGACTGGGATGTCCTGAGAATTCCTTGCTCCCCAATTGCTTCTGGTGCTCTCGTCCTTCACGCCGATGGGATTGCGCACCTTAGCTTCTTTGGCAATGATGACTGGAGGACGATGCAACAGATCTCAGAACTCATTGATGTTCCGCTTTGCACCGTACGTGTAACTGCAGCATACTTGCCGCCAGGCTCCTCTCTGGTTTATCGAGGCCGACATGTCAAGGGAGTTCTTGGAGTTCTACCCAGACCTAGCTGTGGTAGTCTAGACGACTCAGTTCCTCCAACAGCCGTTTTCCTTGATTGCCGACCTTTAGGAAGGGACGTCGTCCTGGCGGCCTTCAAGGGCCTCATTGTCTCCCGGCATGACCTGGCCGCTGCCATTCAGCTTCCTGCTCTACCGTGTTGGGAGCTGGTAGTTAAGGGTGGTAGGCGTTGTCGGGATGGTTTTGAAGTATATCATGGGGAGACCCTCATCCTCGCCCTTCGGCTTGTGACATGTGCTGCTCCGAGTTCCTGCTTGAGCCCTCTCTTGTCGGAATCAGAAGCCTCGGACCAGGAACAAGATCCTGCACTCACCGGGGAGGGGGTCCCTGACCGCGTGCGGCCTCTGAGTTCGTGGGCCAACCCTCCGGGTCTCTCCTTGAAGACCCCGTCAGAGGGCACAGACAACTTGGCTCTTGCAGTCCGGACCATACAGGAACAAGGTGCGGTTGGGCACCTCCCTGCCCCATTTCATCGCCTGGGTGAATTACCACCAAACACGGAAGGTCCCTTGCCTGCACCAGATGACCATGACCTTGAAAACGAGGAGGATAGTGTCTGGCATCCCACCTTCATGATTTATGCGATGCACACCGCTCCAGAGGAGGTACAGGTGACGCTTCGAGCACCTTGTGATCTAGAGACGGCGCGCGGAATTGTCTCTGCGGCCATGTCAGATAGCCGGGGTCGTTACTATCCTCACATTGTGTTCGCGGACCCTCAACCCACGCAATATTGGGGTGCCGTCATCGCCCTTCCCGGATGGGCTAAGCGTGACCCGGTAGTGCTGCTGAACCTGTTGGAGCTAGACGACCGGTGTTTCGTGGCATCCTTGGCCAGTCCGTTTTCGCGTGCACAGGTCATCCGCGCAGCAGGTCTACCACCCGACTCTGAGGTTGATGTGTTTGCTTTCCGAGAGCACATCCCGATGGGCCCAGACAGGGAATGTGACTTAGTTCCAGGAGGCACAGTCACTGTCAGGAGAGGGGGGGCTCGCTGGACTGTCCAGGGTCACTCCATCTGGACGATGTTGGTCTCGCCGCATTGTTGGGACCCATCTCCTCAGATTCAGGCACCCCCACGAGGCCATAGAGTTCTTGTGGTACAAGACGCCGCATTCGGGTACTTGTCCACCGACACAGCAGACTCACAGTTACCCAGTACTGTGCTGCAGGAACATGGAGTTGGGGAAGATCAGGCGCACTTCGCAATCAGTGCACCAGCACCTGGAGATATGCAATATCTGGGTTTCCATTGTGATCGACTATGTGCATTTGCTCTAGTTGATGCCGGGACCCGACTCCCCTCCTCCCATTGTGTCACAATTTTGGACTGCCGTCCTCTGTTGCAGGGCTGGGCCCTCTGGCTTACCGACGAGCCGCATGTTTCTCACGT